TCCCAGTGGATGATGTATTCATTTCATGTCTGCTTATGGGGATACAGCCAGACATTTTTCCAATTTCTCTCTCTCTCTCTCTCTCTCTCTCTCACACACACACACACACACACACACTCTATCAGACACAAAATGGCAGGAGGGGGCTGTAGCAGTTCTCCAATGAATCCTGGAGTAGTGAATGATCAATTGTGGCATGGTTTCACATGTGAAGGATTCCTGCCGTAACGTGTGTGCATCATTAGCAAAGAGTTCATCTGTCCATCTATGCTAGGATGTCCTTCTCATGTCTCAAGGACTGTTTAAGGAGGGCCACTAAGATCATCCCCAGCAGTTACTTTTTTAATTTCCATTTACTCTCTACCAATTTGTGTACAAGTATTGACCAACTGAGGCTACACTCCATGTATTTAAGGAGGTGTGGTGCAGTTTATTGAAGCTTATGCCAAATAAAGCTAGTTAACCCTTAAAGTGCCACAAGACTTCATTTTCCTTCAATAGCCTAACATTCCTAGCCCCCTCTTGAGTTTTCTGCATGATCATTGTTTTGTGCTCACAACCCTTTGAACATGTTTCACCCTGCAAACTGATGGTGCCAGAGACAGTATCCTATGAAACAAAAAGAAGGATCAGAGGTTGTTGACTTCTGTAACTGGTTCTCTTAAAAACAGTAATGCATTGAAACCTTTCTTCTTGGTTTGACCTATGGTTTTGAAAGTTCCAAGAATACCAGACATTCCAGGAAAGAGGAGCCTACCTAGATCCTAGAGAAAGGGGACAGAGTGTTATCTTGTGGGATAATAATCCCCAGCAATCCTAGAAATTCTGTTTTAAACAGTGGGAGGTTTAAGCAGCAACTCACACAAGAAAGGTTTTAGGTTAAGATCTTGAATCTAGGTGTGTGGAGCCTTATGTTGTAGACACACAACTCTTCCCTGGGCTCTGCAAGGCAGCTGTCAGGCATCATGGCCTCTGCCAAAGTGTCTTACTGTTGGTGGGGGGGAGTGTAGCAAGGAAGCAAGCAATAAAGTTGAAGCTGGGATAGTAGCCTCCATTCTCTCCACCACCACCACCATAACAATTGTTGTTATTGTTGTTCAAAACATTTTTGACTTATGGTGACCCTAAAGCAAATCTATCATGGGTTTTTCTTGGCAAGATTTGTTCAGAGGAGGTTTGCTATTGCCTTCCCCTGAGGCTGAGAGCAGGTCATCCAATGGATTTCATGGCTGAGCTGGGAATCGAACCCTGGTCTCCAAAGTCACAGTCCAATGCTCAAAACACTATGCCACACCGGCTCTCCCAATAAAAATAGGTGCCTTGGATCCCATTTGGGGCAAAGGTGGGATATAAATCCAATAAATAATAAATAAAGGTGGGTCATAAAAACAGGATATAAATCCAAATGGGGATATAAATCTAATAAATAAATAAATAAATAAATAGCCTTGGCAACACCTCAGGGTCTGACAGTTGCCTTGGGAAGTTGGACATTGTGCAAAGAGCTGGTGAGTATCTCCTTGCACAATATCTTAAAATAGGCATACTCATGTGTAACCCCAAGTTATATAAGCATGTATCACCAACAAGATTCTAGCCTTAATGGATTTATTCAATCAAATCAAACCCTTCCTGAAAATTAGTTGGAAGTGATTGTTATATTGCTCCAAAATGAAAATGCTTATATTTGTAGTGATTACAGAACAATAAGCTTAATGAGCCAATTTTTAAAGGTTTTTTTAAAAATAAAGTATGGCAGCATTTACAAGTGTAAAAAAGGAATTGGGGACATGCAATTTCAGTTTCAAGGAGAATTTGAATCCTGAAAAGATTATCCCACATAGAGGTACTTGAGGAGAGATGTTGCAGCACCAGTGTGGATGTCTATGCTAGTTGAACTGACAAGTCTGACACAGCAAGCTGATGGATTTGCTGGTAAACAAAAGTCTTTGATTCAAGAGATATTAATATAATTGGCAATCTATATTGTCAACAAAGAGCTCCAATGAACATTAATGATGAGATGACATAAGGCACACAAATACAAGGACATGCATGCCAGTGATGTGTACACTAACCATGGTTTTTTAATTTGCACTCTGAGACCAAACCAAATGGTGGTTTCATGTTAATAGTATTATCACAGTTGTCAATAATATCAACAACATCTCATATGCAGATGATACTGTATTGCAAAGATTAATTGATAAAGTCAGTAAACTAGGTAATGAACATGGTCTAAATATGAATGTTAAGAAAACTAATACTAATTGTTAAAATGCAAGTTGCCTAGGAATTGCAGTTCGATCTCCAGATGGGAAGTGTGGAGTGTGTTGATAAATATGAGTACTTTGGAGTTTGGTTGGATGAACAGCTGAAGCTTTGAGTATGTGGGTTGAACAATATTCTGTATTCCCAGTTCTACTATGGGGCTATGCAGACAGGTAGGAAAAGGTGACTTGAAGTTGCCTTTTCCCTAAGCTGCAGCAGCCACACTGCCTGCCCTGAGGTTGCCCTAAATGGAGATGGAGCAACCACACTGGAGGGAGTCAATGCAGCTTTTATAAGGCTGTATTGAAGCCCCAGCAATGGCACTGCTAGCCCCAAGGACTCTACAAAAGGAGATGGAACAACTACATGGGCTAGCAGCATCTGCTTTTTTTTTTTTTTT